ATACACAGAAGTTTTAGCATTCAGACCTCACTTCTTCCTCCTCTTCTCTGGGACTCAACAGCATTGTGAGCCTGGGCTCTGGAGTCACATTCTTGGGATCCAATCCAGGCTCCAACACTTGCTAGGTGAGTGACCTTCAGCAAGCCTTTAACCTCGCCAAGACTCAGTTCCCTCAAAAATACCCTGGACCAGGGGAAGTCCCCACCTCGGAGGGTTCTTGTGGGAGTCAAATGAGACAACACTGTTTAAGGCCCTGGCATGACACTCAGTCAACATTTGCTTCCGTATATCTCTCACCTAATTTGCACAGAGTTAGATAAGGTGACCCCAAAAGCCAAGCACTGACCTCCCCCAGCAATTTGGGCAAATGCACCCTGGCCCATGGTCTCATCTCCTGTCCCAGTGGCTGACCACTCTCCCTCACCCCTGACCTGGCCCACTTGTCACAGGAGACTTCCCCCAACACCCCTACTGTCACCGTGTCACCGTGGAGATGAGCCGAATTCCTGTCCTGCTGGCTGCCCACGGCTCCCGGCTCCCGTTGCTTCAGGAAAAGGCCGCCGGAGCCGCTGATAGGCAAGGTGTCAAAACCAATTGGTGTGAAGGACTCAGGGAAAACCGCTTGTGAGGGCCAATTCCCCACAGGAGGCCGGGAACCCTCAGCCCAAGGCCGACTGTTTACGGGTGTAATTGATAGAATAATCACTAACACCCGAGACAATGCGAACACATTTTTAACATCATAACCTTCGGAAGACAGCGCTCAATTTTCTCCATCTCCCAGCCACCAAACTAGCCAGCTTATTGATGGCGAGATATCCACAGTTCGGTAAGGAATGAGAGAATGCCAGGGTGGGTTTTCAGGGAACGGGCTGTTTGCCAAATGGCCCGGTGGCCCCCGCCCCTGCCTCAGCACCCCGCTGGTCCCTCCAGGCAATGGAGAGAACCTCAGGACAGTGAATCACTCAATGGACAAAGCACCAGGCCAAGCTAGGATCTGTGTCTGCATTGGGGTGTATTAATAATTGAAGGTGCTGGCTTAGGGGTGTGTGTGTGTGTGTGTGTGTGTGTGTGTGTGTGTGTGTGTGTGTGGCCAGGCGGGGGTGGGAGGATGGATGTTTGCTGCAGTACAAGGCTTCCTGGGGCTCCTCTCAGGGTCCACATGCCTGCTCCAGCATGGCCCCCTCCCTCTCTTGCAAACCCAAACCAACCCAGCAGCCCCTGGCGCCAGACGATTCCCATCCCTACACGTGTCGTCAGGCCTGGCTGAGTGC